CGCTCTTTAGCTTTAGTAAATGTTAGCTGCTGCTTTGTTGAACCTACAATTACTCGTTTTTTCTTAGGCTGTGGTCAGAATAAGAATGCAAGTAGTACGTTCAGTATAACAACGCCAGTGGTATTTTCAGCTGCAGTATATTGGTATTACTCATGCAGACAATGGCAATATCAAGGCCTACTTAGCTTTTCAAGTGTTCACGTTACACAACAATAATGTTCAAGTTTCTGGTAGGGCGATCGTACAACGGTATACAGATTAAATTTTTAATTTGATACGTTACAGTTATGAATGAATTGAATTTTGCTCTTGGGGATATACAGGGTGATTCAAAAAAGAGTGGCAATATTTTCCAAATAGAAAGTACATCAAACATAACAGAACACGTTCCTATAAGCATTAGGTCTGCGTTTCGCTACCAATATACAGGATGTTGTAAATTTCTACGCCACTAATGGGATTGAGTGATCATAATAATGCTGAAATAGAATTACTCTCATAATACGCTATATACAATTTTTAATGTCAATCAATCTTGAATAACTGTAGCATATTTGCGAACAGGTTGAAGTTTTCCCCCCAAATATGAAAACCTCTTATTGTACAAAAGGAACACCCTGACAAAAAATTCTCAAGACAGACGATTTGTGTAAAATTGAATACCTTGTCAGAAATGCAATACATAATCTTAATTTTTTTTTTCTCTAGTAGTCAAAATTTTCTAATTTCTACGCCATTGCTACAGTGTTAGATAGACATTTTTTGTGTATGCATAAGTTATTCCATTGGCGCTACGGGTACAAAATTTTAATTCAATATCTTAACTGTCTCCGTAGATGTTATATTTTTTCATATGATAGAAATTGTATATCTCTTATCCTTATCTACTTACCCATAGTAATATAGCTATAAAACCAGATTTTTTTACACAGTGCTTTTAGCATACTGTCCTATATAACGAAAACTACAAATCTAATCCATTTTGGTTGGTATCTTTCTTATTTGGAACAGTTATAAATTCAAATGAAGAATTCTTTGTCCTTGTCATTGTTGCTTTTAGGATTATGCCAAGGGAACAGATTAGAATGAAAAGTGCCAAACTCAATATTCTGAAGGGTGAACTGTTTCATCAAGAAGAGTTTAGCTTTTGATTAGAGCGATATCTCAGTTGACTACTATCGGAGACTATACGGCAAGGTAGTTGAATTTTCACTTCAACAATAGACACAGGGTGAATTTCAAGAGTGGGCTCAGTCGACAGCTTCGTTATTAAGCATGCTATTTAAAACACTTGGGTTCAAAATCGTTTCCAACAAAATGCTCCTTACTTGGAAAATATTTTTATGTCTACAGGGTGACTCATAACTATGTGGTGACCTCAACATCCATTTTTTTTAATAGAATGTCTATATTTTTTGCCACTTCAAACGAAGCAATTTGATATAACATATACGGTTTTATCTTCAAATTGTCAAACTGTCAAAAAATGCTCTACTTTGACAAATGACATCTCCGCAACTCTTATAGCCAGATTACTGCATAATTTTTTGTCAAAAAATGTAAGATGTCATATTTTTCCGTATCCCCTGATTTTCATAGTTTTTTGATAGTATACACGGTGTGGTCAAGAACGCGAAATTTCTCAAAATTTTCAAATTGAACACCTTGTACATTTTCACATATTTTAATTATACTTTCCACAATCTTTTTTTATATAAGGTTTTCGGGAGGTTTGCATGATTTATATTAGAGTTATATAGATATTTATTTTGTAAATCAGATTTCAAGAAGGATGAAAAAATATTACAATACCTTTCAAAGAAAAATAGCATTTGCTTGGCAAGGAGAGGTCTTTAGAATTCGTTTATTTACCTTCTAAATTAAGTCTACCCAGCCTTACGCAATGAAGGCGAAAGATTAAGGTGAACCTGTGGTTTTCTAGTTCCAAAACCGATCGTATATATCAATCAGCATGTGAAAATAGCCATAAAAAAATGTGAAAATATCTAGGGTGTTCAATTCGGAAACTTTGAGGAATATTTTATTTTGCCTTATAGTCCACCGTATACTTTCCATACGGACCAAGCATGGGATCACAACATTTTTTTGAGGAAACACTGAGTGCTCTAACTATACGTTGGCGGGGTTGCGAGTTGTCACAGTTGAGTTTTTTTCTCGATAGATTGTCCAATACCTTAGCAACTTGAAAATAAAGCCCTATCCTATTTTATATCAGATTGCCTTAGTTTCCTATCCAAATGTGGAATAAAAGTAGCGCTTTCCATTAAAAAAATGTATGTTTGGTTCACCACGTAGTTATGGGTTACCCTGATCAAATGAAAATGTTTTATAAGTCAGAAACGTGCTGGTACAATTTTTGTACTTCACTTTTTTAGATACCATGCATAATAACAGAGTAATCGACCAAGCTCACACTAAAAACTCACCCTGTATATCTACGAAATCACGAGTTTTGGTAAGTCACTGATTTTAATCTGTATTACTATTTGTATCACTAAGTATCAGTCTACTACCAAATTTCCATCTACCTTTCTATCTTCTACCTCGTGACAAAAAACCAAGCTGAATCCAAATTTCACCAGCTTGTCCTACAACAGGTTCAAGATCAATACCGCTTTATCCGGGTCAAGAATGTGATTACTTCGTCCAACTGGACCATCCTAACTGCCCCAGGTACGACTTGACCGGATTAAAACGAAATTATACTCACACTCGACCATCTTCAATTCATCAACAAAGCACACCACAAAATTCACTTCAAGCTTCATCCATGTGCACTAAAGTCCGATCTTGGTTCAACAAAAAGTCAAAAGTACCCGGTAGCACCCCAAAGTCTTCCGAGAACTGTCAAATTCGGCGGTAGTTAAAAGCGGACCTAGCTGTACTGACCGCGGAACCATCAGAAGAATTTGCTGCAAGCATCGCGACGGCGCTGTGGAACCATCGTACGCAAGTGGTACCGTAATCGTGGTTCGGCGGACGGAGCGGAAAGCAGTTTTGAGCTTTTTTGTGTTCCGCGGTGCAGCGTGCTTTAGTGGGATGGTACCTGCAGTATCTAGTTAGTGTGAGTTTGAAAATCGTTGAATGGATCAAAAATTGGTATCGGCCGTTGATGCAGCGTCAAAGGAAATCGAATAAAAGCTCACGAGAACAAAAGATTCAGGATACCAAAACCCAAAACTTGGCAACTTCGCATTTTTTAAAAAAGGTTATAACAAAAGTTATTGGAAAAAAATTAGCGATGACCTTAAGTATCGCTTAGACCTTATAGGACATTTCGAGTTCAAGTTTGCCAATTCAAATAGCACATAATATTTTGACACCATATCCATGTGGGGTTCGATATCTTACATAGGAATGTATTTTAATACATGTGGTCGATCGGTCATGATTGATCCCATCAATATGGCCTATTATAACATTTGAAAAGAGCAGGAACACCTCGAAAACATGCAAACACCCATTTTTTGGAAAATGGACATTATCTAGGCCATATTTGAGGTAATCGATGAGTATTTTCCTGATATCCTGAAACCTATTATTACAACCTTTTATTAAAAAACTGACATGAAGTAGGTAGCACTAGAAAGTACGACAGTTAGCCCATCTGTCAGTGAAAATACAATGAAAGTCAGTCAATCGGGCCCATACTCAATAATGCCCATGCATTTGACACGTTGCGATTTCGAGATCTTTCGGATGGAACCGACCATCTGGCAACGCTGCTATGGCCACACTTCTTCATCACATTAGATAGATGTGCTGCAGGAGATGAGTGTATTTAAAATATGTATTTCTATGTCATTTAAAGGCAAATCGAAAGGGAAACCTAAGATGTGTGAAATATGTTTGATGGGTACGTAGAATTATCGGAGATACCAGTGTATAATTAGCAAAAAAAATGAGATGGCGCAGGAAGAAGTGCTTAGTGACCTAGTTTTTGGGATATCCGTGTACTTTTCAGTTGTTACGGCAGGTTGTCACTTATGGTCATCTATTGCCTCTTGACCTCATTTAAATCTGTGACTGCTAGTGGAATAGTGGAAACTTGACCTCGAAATGACATTAAAGACCATAATCCAGCTCATGTTTGACGGCATGGATCAATTATTTTTATGATATCTTGAGTTTTTTCAAACTGTAATTAAAAAAATGCGTAGTTGCCGAGTTTTCGAGGCGTTCGGATACTTATCAAGAACATTCTTAGCCTGATTTTTTGGTGTATGGAAAGTATAAGTAAATATGTATCAGATATAGCCATTCTTTGAGATTAGTATGGTGTACAATTAGCGATCCTTTTTATATTTCAATTCGTATTCTATAACCTACAGGCCTCGTTTGACAACACGTTTGTAGAGTGGATATAAGTTATTTACTATTTCTTGCAGTTTGTTTACAAACATGAAACCTCCAAATGGATGCAAGCTAACATCAGGGAAATAAATCAAACCTGAGAACTTAATGGTAATTAATGCATCGCGCTTTGATAGCCACTTCAATTATTTATCGAGCTAGTGAGCTATGAATCATCAATTAGGTCAGCAATTCTCTAGGGGCCTCGATTGAATAAACACAATTTCATTAATAAAAATCTTTGTTTCCTCGGTAGATGGGAAAAATTAATTAAACAAGTGCATGGGGAGTAGTTTCAGTCATCAAATTGCAATGTAGTGATTTTATAATGAAAGCGCTACAATAAGATCAATATGCACTATTTAGGAAGGCACCCAGTCTCTATAACGTTTCTGTAAGTTTCCGACACAACTGGACGTTTTCACTTTAATTTCACAAAAACTATTGCATTCCAATGGTCAATACAGCTTGTTGCACATCAACTGGTGGCCATATCTTTGGAGAGAACACATCGAGCATGAATGATTGGAAAGGAGCGGCCCGGATACGCTACCCTGCGGAACCCCAAAATGGTTGTATATAAATTGAACAATACTGCGTACTCGGCGGTGAATTGTGTCGATACCTTTTAATTCGACTAGAGTAAGGCTCCCTACCATTCAAGGTAAACCGTGTTACCAAAACTGCTTTCTCTGTTTTACCTCACTGGCGAAGTCATCCGAAGTCAGTCTACCTTGCCATTACTTGGCTACCTGTTATTCTTTGTTTGCGGTTTATGATGATTTTGGAACATAACCTTTTTTGAAAGCCTGTTTCTAATTCAAGATGATTGTGGGGGACTATGTTTTGGATCTGTGCAATGTTTTTTACTCCGGACAGGTGAGTACAATACTATTGCACATTGCATCTGCTGTAAGGATTCATGCAACCCGAATTTGAGCTTGATACTAGGATGGTACTTTGTACAAAGTTTTTGGAGAAGGAATCGTGCCAAGAAAAATGCCACACAATACCCAATTTACACTATTTTCGTCAACGCTTTTAACCTACCAAGTATGCTAAGGAAAAAGTTAATTTAACTTCAGAGCCTTGTACACTAAGCACAAGTGAAAAAATGCGCACATATCCAAGTAAGCTGATTTTTTATCAGTAATCGCATTTTCTATAGTGGAAGAGCTTGCAATGTTTAATAAAAATACACGGCATATTAGAAAACATTTCATTTCAAATATTCTTGTTTTTAGATTAACTGTGGGATCTACATTTCAACAAAACATTTAGATCATAGAGATTTTTTTTATGGATTTACCACTCCTCGACTAGTTGCTTTAGCCGTGCTGAATAAGAATTTACTTTTTTTAGGTTGAATCGGGGTCATGTTTCCAAAGGATGTTAGGGAACATCAAAACAGGAATCATTTTGAAAGATGTTTCGATGACAGTCCACTCTGGAGAGGTGCTGGCAGTTTTGGGGTCTAAAGGTATGTTGCAAAGAGCTACATTTAGCTAATATTCACTAAGTTTAGTGATGAGAAAATTGTAACAATTTATTGAGAGGAGTAATTAGTTCAACAGGGACGGACTGGGTTGAACGACTGAATGAAGGTATACCGAAACATATTTTCAAGCTGCTGTTAGTATTTCTCTGTTGAAGATATGAACATGAACGCACATTATCCTATGATTATTTTCAGGAAGCGGGAAGAAAGCTCTTCTGGACGTAATATCCCGTCGAGCCCGTGGACCAATCAGAGGACAAATACTTTTGAATAACCAACCAATGAGTTTATGCCTGTTCCAACAAAGATGCGGTTATGTGACTCACAAGTGTGACCTTATTCCTGGTCTGACAGTAGCCCAGACACTGTATTATACACCAACAAAGGTAAAGCTCTTGACAAACTAAGCTTGTTGGTACCGCCAGATACTGTATCCTATTGCTAACGCCAAATGATATGTCTCGATGCGTCACATAAAGCGGTATAGCTCTTCCTATATGGACCACAGTACATATCAAACGCATCAATGTTTTCTGCAAGCAGCACCTTTTTTGAGCGCAAGCAGTAGACCGCATAGTCGAGCTGTATGTTCAAATGTGCTTTCAAGTTTTTCGGGTACTTGGGATAGAAAACAAGTGTTGGAGCACTTTTTCCAAATGACCAATTAAAAATTTTCATTAATTATGTAATAGCTAACTAGCTTAATTAGTTTAATAGAACTCCGATTTCCAAAACAGTTCACTCAAATCTATGAAACTAGTTTAATTAAATCAAAAGGCAACCGTCTAATTAAATTCGCTGAACCGTTTACTTAGATTGATTAAACCAATTTACTCAAAATTAATGCAACACTAACATGAGTTTACCTACTCCAAGTAAAGCAATTTCAGTCTATTTATTGAATTAGCTTAATTAGTTTAGGAAGAAGTGTTTGCCTACTTATAATGAACTATTTAACTTTTAAAAGGATACTTGAATAATATTTGCAATTTAAGAATACTAATCGCATTTTACTGAATGATTTGGATTATAGCTGTGCTCTAACAAGTCTTAGATATCAAAAAGTTGGAGAACTTGATATTGATAGTTGATATTTTCAAATCAAAAACCCTAACAGAATTCGATATTTTTTATTTTCATTGATACAGAACTTGTTATATATGGGATCGAATTTGACTACTATCTGCATGTTTGTTCAGAAAAAGATTATATCACCATTCACTAGAAGCAATTCTTTATTGTAAATTCAAGACGTAGGGAAAGGGATACCTGAAACTGAACAAGGCCACTTGATCATGAGTACAAAAATTGTACGTATTTCTAATAATGAAACAATATTGCATTCACTTGCTTTCAACGCATTTAGATATATAAATAAATTCGACAGCATAACCAGGATATCTTAAAATACTACAAGGTCTACACCAACAGGAGGTGCCACTTCCTGGATATATACATTATACAATATAAAATAAAAGCACATCAAGCCTATGTTAACTCCCGTATACAAAGTATTTCATTTGGAGAGGGAAATATTCTAACCATGGTTATGGATCACTAAGCGCCTTATGCTCGAGTATTTCGATTGATCACCATAATCGACCTACTTCACAGCTCATACGCCAACAACGGCAACATTCAAATATGAAGTTCTTCGCAAAATTCACAAATGAAGCTGAAAATGTTTCATTGTTTTGGATGTACCTTTTCTAAGTAAACTAAATAACCTAGACTGATCAAACGGTTTATAAAAGAAAAACGCGGTTTGTTATTTTCAAGAAAATTATATTACTTTCATTAAACTGATACAGAAAATTCAGTTCAATTAGACCGATTAATTTAGGTACTTAGACTAATTAAAAAATGTGTTAGGGGTAACGAAAATGTTCCACACTGAGATATGAACTTCTCTTCTCGTGTATTGAAATCTCATGTAGAGAGCCATAAATGCTTGGGCAGGCGACAATCGAATAAATTCAGCAATCGGGTGATCAGGCTTGTTTTAATGAAGGCTGGAAGTAACAGTTCTAGATATATTTGATAAAAAAACAAATTTTTAGAACATATTGGACACACTGCAATTTGACGTTTTACGACAAATATTCATATGAAGTTTTTTACTTATACTATATTTAGACAAAAACTTACCCTTAGAAGCTAGGACACCTTTGAACTCGAAGATATGCCTCAACAAAATGCTCTATTTACAATGTGTATGTTCGATTCCTTCTGCGCTAGTTCGTCTCCATATCTGGTTAAAATCATCTAAAGTCAGTACCATCTGTAATATACACCTTAAAACTGGCAACGAGTTCATTCTCGTTTAATTTCTCAACAATCTCAATATTGATGATGCCTCGTAAGGACGCTACGGCATCATTTACGATTGATCGCAGGGATAGGAAAGCAATATGTCTTGTATCGTAAACTCTTCCTTTATCACCGAAATAAAACAAGACTATATCAAGGATGAAATTTTATAGGGGTCAGTTTTTATTTCCATCATGTTTCATGCAATAAGATGAAGATTATTAATCCTAAGCATAATTTGGTAAGTGTATCATATTATGGGGTTTTATTTTCAAATTGTTGAGACGTTGGACAATTCATCGAAGAAAATTCTTATCTTTGACAGCTCGCATTTCTTAAGCTGTTATAGCTTGAGTACTGAATATTTGACAGAAAAATTTCATGATCTCATTTCCTCCGTATCTACTCACCCTTTAAGTTTTCTTGATAGTACATACAGGGGTCAAGAACACAAATTGAAAGACTACTCAAAATTTCCAAATGAAACACTCTGAATTTTCACATCCTTTGATCCTCTTTTTACAAGCTGTTTTGATAAGTTTCTTGGGGGCTTGTACAACTGGTTTTTGAGTTACAGCTAACCTTTTTGTGAGAGAGACATCAAGAGGAATACAAAATTTTACACCACATTTTGAAATAAAAAATAACATTAAGTCGGTAACTGCAGTTCGTTAGAATTTGTGTATTTTCATTATAAATTAAATCTACCCATCCTTATCCAATAGAGTCAACGTCGTTATAACAGAAAAAAGCTTGTGAAATGTGGAATCGAGAAACTCAAAATATACAGGGTGTTACATTTGAAAGTTTTGAGAAATAGTTGATTTTGCGTTCTCGACTGCTCTGTACAAACAATCAAAAAATAAAAACTCACAATGTAGGTAGGTGAGCAGGGTATAACAGTTGCGGAGGTGCAAGTTGTCAAAGTTGAATGTTTTTTTCGGTGGTTTGTGCAATATCTCAACAATTTGAAGCTCAAACCTTACAGCATGTTATATCAAATTGCTCTGTTTGAAAGGGCCTAGGGCTTTCTATTTAAGAAAATGTATTTTAGGTAACTACGTGGTTAAAGGACATCCCGTAGAGATTAAATGTTTTTCGAATTAGGGGCATACTGTTGCTACAATTTTTATTTTTAACTTTTTTAGAAACCACGCGTAACGCCGGAGTTATCGACCGAGCCCGCACGAAAATGTCAGCCTGTATATGATGAAAGTTCTCCCTATTTTCCTGGCCGTTAAATGAAAGTTGTATTAAAAATCATCTATCTCCTTGCTGATTCGAATAGCATCAAAATCTTAAAAGCGACCAAAAATGGCTTACGCATTGTTAAAACTTCACCGACGTTATATAGTATTTTAGAACCTCCTGGGGTAGGCATTTTACCACCCCTAAACGACGTCACCTCCATTTGTCATCCTGAAAATGTCTAAAGTCTTCGAGATGACAGGTAATGAATAACTTGATGATCGCTTGTTGCCTGGTTGAGGCGTACTGTCATCCCATTTTGGATGTTACGTGATATGTGCATTACAACAAAACCATGTTACTAATTATTTGTGTCTATTGATCAGTCCGCTGAACCTTGGTCTCTCGGTTTTAAAAACGATCTAGTGGTGGCGAAACTACGGACAATAAAAATAAAAGCTTCGTGTATTGACTTTGCAGACAATCCTACTCATTTTTTTAAAACCTTTTTGAGGAGTAAGAACTTGGTAGTGAGGAGTGGTAGGAGGTGGGGAGGGTAAATCTAATTTGTTAGACTTTAGATCACCTATACACTTCTAACACCACATTTGTACCTTAAACATATACAACGGTGTTAACTCAAACATTTCGAAATAAGAAAGCACAAAGTGCCATCTATTACCTGAATTGGCCACTGCGAAGGTGAAAACAACAAGCTGACTGTTGAATTTGTATCCCAGTTCGCATTGTCAGCCGGGTCACCACTGTGGACGTTAGATGCCGCCGTTTCTGGTGCTATAGTTGATAATGGTCTACTTGCTATTGAACAAGCGTAATATAGCTTTCGTTCGTCATACCACAGACGGCCATGTGGGGCTGTTTCGTGCTACTTGGCAACTTGTCAGCATGGTCTTAGAGTTGGTCTAGGTCAAGGCTGCTGAAGCTTTTTAACAGTCGGGCCAATCGGTGGAGTCAGACATTCACGACGGGCCACTGACAATTCTTATTTCAGTTACTGTCACATGCGCAATAAAAATCCAATATTAATTGAATTATTGTTTATTAGGTAATGTTATTAACAAATAAACAGTGCCTGAGGCTAAATAAAGAAACAAAATTAAGCTTAATTATGTATCCTCTCAAATTCTAGGGCGTCCTAGGGTAAATCGTTGTTACAATCAATGCGATTTCTGCCACTGTTTTTCTTTTAATCATATACTTATGTTAGGCGACAAGTCCGATGTTGGCAGTAACAACAAGTTATAAATGTGTAGCTCAGTAACCGATGTGCGGTATCTATTTTTACATAGTTGAAGTCTGAAAAAACCTTTTAACAGACATAATATGTTGATCTAAAACCACTTAGAGACTGTAACGCCAGGTCAGATATTACTGGAAACTCTGCTTTTGTTACCAATTTCCAGAAATCTGCAAAATCTTCTAAAGAGTTTTGTGCGTTCGAAGAGAATTTGGTTGCAAAAAGGTTTTTTAACGTATCATAATTTTGCAGATTAACGATATCCAACTGAATATTGGCGGAGTAACTAAGTATTTCAGCTAAACTGATTATGAAAGGATTTATAAAAATTTGTAGATTTTGTCTTTCGCTTGCAAAGTCTTGAAATCTCCTCTCAAATGACTGTGATAATTTTAGATTGCTATTTAGAATAATTAACAGTAGCAATATTGAGCTCCTCTTTCAAATGCACTAGTGTGTTTTCTGTAGCCAAATTAATTGAAAAGAGATTTAATTTTGCTTTCAATCTGCTTATCAAATTAACCATAGTCGGAAGTGAACAATTTTTACCTTGTAATTTGAGATTCAAAATATTGAGGTAATTAGGAACGTCAACAAGAAATGCAAGATCACTCAACCAGGATGAATTCT